TACAATGTTTAAAAGATGAAAATTGGAGGGGGTCGCAAACCTTAAGTGTGGAAAAGTGCTAGATTTGATTTCGCAGATTTTTTGAAAGGCTTATAATTTTCAATTTGTTAATTTGTTAAAATGTCTTCTAAGAATCTACGTGAAATTTGAATGACAACATTCCTCGAATAATGATTTCTTCATACACCCTCTCTAAATCATACTTTATTGCCCCTTGTAGGTGGATTGACACAGGTGCAGGGTGCCGTCAGAACTATAGTGGAAATCGGCTAAAAGGGAGGGTACAGTTTGGACCTACTTGATAACAATATCTACTTCAGGACAAATAATGTTGCCGTGGGTTGGTGGGTGGGGTGGGGTGGGGTTGGGTGGGGAGTTGAATATAATTTGCAAAGGGATAATATTAGCAGTTAAAATAAATAGAGTTTGTATTTAAGTGTCCTGAAACGGGTACCTATCTAGCAAGGAAAATACTAGCAAATTAGGTGTCTTTTTTTCCTTCTGAAACGTTGAATAGGCCCAAAATTTAGCAGCATGTAAACAAAGTAAGTAGATATAAAAAGTGGATATTTATAATATATTACAATCGATTACATAATTAATAAATGAAATTAAATACGAAACGCAACTCCAGGCAATAAATACAGTGCAAGTTTCTACAATGACAGAGCTAAATGATATTGACCTAAGATTGAAAACGAGAAGTTTAAATATGCATATGACGCATGCGTAATTGATCAACCAAGGGAACTTCTTTAATTTTGAAAGGACTTTATAATTCACATCAGGTAATAAGAGTTTTGGATTGGAACTTGATTTATTCATCACCATAACTCGTACTGAGTAACGTCGAATGAAATATCGAGAAAAATGTACAGTACTCAAGCTCAAAAGTCCATTAAAACAACAAAAATCAAGAGCAGAGCAATCATAGACCTTTAAAACATCAGAGGTGGGATCGGGTGCCATGGTGAGTATCATTTGCCGTCCGGTCACATGCATCCGCCTTGTGCTCCTTGTAATGATTAAAAAAAAAGCAGAAAAATCCGTAGACAATTTAGTGTTTAAATTATGACCTAACAAGAAGTATGAAAAAGGTCAGTCAGCATTTGACTTAATGATAGATTGTATTTGCTGACATGTCACTGTATCGACCATAGACTGCTGATGTTCCTGTTTCATTAACTTTTTCGTTAAAAGCTTGCCTCGTTTTAGAAATTGCTCGTATGTAAAGCATACTCTGGCGTATCGAATCAACTGAGAGACATAAAACCCCATATGCAGGTGATAAGAGTATTTGATACAAAAGTAAGAGAAGTGGACGATTGAAAAGCTTAAGTCATCACGTTTATCATAGAGTTATAGTTTGTTAGATTACAATTAACGTATTTTTCTAGTCATCCAAATATAAAACAGATGTGTCAGACTCTATTGTATCTTTCATTTCAAGCTCACTGAGATATATCCAGTCAAATTAAAGTAACTATTGTTAATTGATAATACGTCATTGATATATCTAAATGTCGAATTAAAGGTACCAGCAAGTGTTTTCTTCTCAGGTGTATGATTTTGCGCAGCTATGTTAAGGCTTCCCGAAGCTTTAAAATGCGCTCAAAACATAATATGTCATTGCGAGGTCGGTTTTGGTTTTAATTTATTAGTATTGAACTTAGTACTCCCAATTTATTTAAAGGGTTTCCTCGGCTATATATTAACATATTTGTTATGATATCACATGACTTTGTTGATCACGTGACGGACATTTATAAGTTTTTGAAGTGTTTCATATAAATCGCTTTGGCGCAGCTGATTAACACGATAATTATCAACATTCTGTTATATAAATAAACTCATCGTATCCTTGTGTATCCGAAATGTGCTTGGGAAAAGTCATGGTATTACTTGGGTACAAAATATTTCCTGAGAAATTCAACTTACCTTCAAATTTGAGGGTATTTTCCACATAATATCGTAATCTGTATTAATACAAAGCCAACACACATTTTTCCCAAGCAAGATTCAGTTAAAGAACAACCTCTTCTTACAGATTTCCACAAAAATTCTCAGATTAATCCTCATTAATCACCTGCGCCAGACTCTTTTATACACACAAAATAAATTCTACCTCCAACCACAGGTATAAAACAGACTACATTTCAAAAGTATATTTTTCATAAGCATTTTGAACATGCTGAATTTCAATCAAGGGTAGGTAAGCGGTGTATTTTTTAAATATTTGGACATATAAGACTTAAAAAACCTTTAACGACCCGTGAATTTTGCAGTAGTTATCTAGCATTTTACATGCAGTTTGAAATAAAGTGTAAAGTTCATGACACTCTCCCCGTCATAACACCTCAAGTTTGCAGTGACTTGACGTCATTTTCCATTATGACGTCATATTTTAGTAGTTCAGAGATGTGAAGGCACAGAGTGCACTGTAATATTCTACGGGAAGCCTTAACCTACCTGCGTGAATAATTATTGTCTTATCTGTATACTAAAATAGGTCTGCTAACAATGGTGCGCAATTCGGACCCATGGAAATTCCGACAAAGTGTTGGAAGACTTGATCTACAATAACTACATAGATATTGTCACTCAGAAACTCAAGCATCTTTTTATTGTCAACTTCAGAGTACTTGTGTGTAAAATCAGAATGTTTTTATAAATTGATGTACAGTTGTAAATGACCAAATGACAAGGTAAGTTGATTAACGAAAAAGCATTGAAAAAGCAGCTGTCAATGATGTCATAAAGACTGGACTTTTTATTGTGGGGAATGGATGTATGAAGACTTGAAAATCGTACCTTTTGATTTTATTCATTTTGGTAAAATTTTGTGATTCTCAAATTTCCTAAAAGTTTCTTGGAGTTTTTAAGTATCCACATCTGATGTACACCACTTCTCGAAAATACTGTCGTACAGTACTCCTGACGCCTCTCCTTCACTGCGATTCATATTTTAGTGAAGAGTTAAAAATGAGGCTTGGTAGAATATTTACTGGAACACGCTACGTATCTTTGTTTGTAAGGATTTTTATGAAGTTTAGGTATCCAGTATAGATATGGTGACTCAGATTTATTTTGATTGTTGGGAATATTACAAATGTTTAAAACTGACATATGATTTTGAACAATTTCCACCTTATAAATGGAGCTATGGCTATAAGTTGGATTACAACTTGCAGAACTAAATCCGAGTTCCTTTAAAATACAATTAAAATAATGAGCCTTACAAACAAAGACGATTTTATTACATGCTTTATCCGCTTTTCGGATGTTCCTTTGCCTTATTTATGCATTTATGTAAGACAGTACCAATATAATGATACTAGAAGTGAAAATCACAAGCATTTTGGATGAAACCTTAAAAACCGAGAAAGGTACCTTGTTGTGGTAGGCATTGGCACGAAAAAGAACCCTCAGTGCTCTGTGGTCCCGAGTGCCGTGTAAAGGTCTTAACTTAAATCCCCTTTACCGGTATATGGTGACGTCTCTATATAAGTGAAAGGTTCTCAAATGGGACATCAAACAACATACACTCAATCAATCAATGTGTGAAAATTCACATTGAAGCTACACATCTGCTAGCCATTACCAAGAAGCTTGAAAAAAAGTACAATTTCGGCAATAGACACAAACTCTGCCTTACACCCGATCCTACCTTAGGAATTTCCTGGGGTCCATGTTTATGCCCTATGCACAGATTTGTGTTTTTTTTTTTCGCTTCACTGTTCGTTTTTTTCACTGTTCGTCATCTTCACCACTTTCATTCAATATGTGCTTAATCAATTTGCAAATTTTCAATTATGTGGAATCCAAAGAATTTAGTCTTGGAGATACAAAATACACAGAGAAGGACCCCCTCCCAACACACACACACAAACGGTTGGGCTCTAGCTTTGTGATTAGAAGATCCGGTTCTATTCTAATTCGTGGCAAAGCATCAAACTATCAAATTTATTTTTAACATTAATAGTGACCATTCTTTTGCCGAGCCCAGCATTAGAAGAGAGAGAGAGAGAGAGAGAGAATCATGGGTCTCCTGGATAACCTTAAAACTGAGGTCCCATGTCACGGTAGGCGTTGACAAGATAAGGAACCCTCACTGCTACGGCTGTGAGCGCCACGCTTAAGTCATAATTTGTGGTATTTCTCCTAATTAGATGACGCCTTTACATGAGTTGAAAAATTCTCGAATGAGGAGTAAAACAACAAATAATAAATATGAATGGTCCAGTATATTTTCTTTTTATCGATTTAAAAAGTACACCTTTGGTATAATGACGAAATATGAGCATAACTACTTAACAGCTTTTGCAATAAAATGATTTAATTTCAGAACATGTCCTTTGGCATATTAAGACATTTTCCGTAAGTCAGTTCCTCTAAGCTAAAGTAAATTTCAAATGTTGGAAAAAATCCAAATATACCACTAGATAAAATATAAAAACAATATAAATGAAAGTCTAAATTTGAATTGTTATAAACATTTGCTAATGGTTATTAATAAAAAAAAAACAACTTTGTTTTAACTAGGACGATTTCATGTGCAATATTGTGTCATTAAACGTATGTTTTATACTGACTTAAGAATCTCGCGTATATGAAATTATCAATGAATATACAATTATGTTTAAGATCTGGTGTAATCTGTCATTTGGAATACCATCTTTACATTTGTTTGTAAATTTTTGTTGCTCTTCGATCCGGGGGTCCAAAATTGACGAATAAAATCGAACATCTCGTTTGTTGTTCTGTTCATAGGCCCAGATTCCTTCTTTTCTTTAATAAACCTGTCACTACCAAGAAAAAAAAACTTGTTACTCAACATGGTTTGAATTCTGTGTCACCTATAAAATCAACTTACGTAATTTACTATCTCTGTATTCCACGCATCGTAAATTAGAACATTGTAAATTAGGCCATGCTATAAAAGAGAAGAATGTAACAATTATAAGTATAGCCCTAATATATATAAACCACCTATAGCTTTGGATATTCTTTGACTCTACAAGATGACTTCGTCTAAGATGATCCTTAGAATCGTTAGCATCGTTTTCATTGCATTCGAAGGTACTGTTAATTATTATAAACATTTTTTTACTTTAGGCCATGTGAACTGTTTTTCTAAAACTTCCCAATCAAGAAATAATGTAGCTTAGGTTAGCAATGAAATCCTTTCGTTAGCATTCTCTTTGAGTATTCCAATTTAGTAGCAATAATCAAGAGGTGGTAAATAAAAAGTGCTCTCTCTGTTGTTTTTTAAAGTTATCCCCCATTTACGTAAGTGGTTATCTTTGACTAAAAATGCTTCTTTTTTTCTGTTATATCAGAATGCCTGTTGCCAAGACCCGTTGATGCATTTTTTACGACAGAATCTACCACACATACTTCTGAACACTCAGATGCTATCACTACGGCTCTAACAGCAACAACTACAGAATCGATAACAACGGCAACAACAACAACAGATTATACAACACAATATACAACAACACCACTTAGAACTACAGAATCGACAACAATAGTAACAATACCTGAGACAACACGATCGACAACAGCAGCAACAACAACACATGGAACTATAGAATCGATAACGACATCCTCTCCTAGTTTTGTGGGATCGACAGCAACAACAACAACAACTACGACATATTTGCCCGTGGCATCGGTTACAACAGAAACAACGGCACATGAACCTGTACAATCGAACACAACAACAACATACAGAACTGATTCCACGTCAGATACAACAGGAACATCAGCAGAATCAACACAAGGGACTGTCGAAACAGCCACTCCTTCTAATATTACAGAGGCCCAGAAATCAGCTGCTTCCACAGCGATCTCAAGTGAGATTATATTTTACTATGCAACTGTTATTTTAGGACAGAGTTTGATTAGAAGATATATCAACTTTTGAGGGCTTAACTATTTTCATTACTTCAGTGACAGTTTTGTGACATTATAAAAACTGGAGATTTTACTGACCATGTACTGTTGTCAGCTAAAGGCGCTTTCAACAGTGTATTATCAAATATAATAATAACTAAGAATCGAAATCAATTAAAAATCTTGTGTATTTTCAAATATTCTCCGAACCTTTGGAATGAAAGTTTTTTTAAAAGTTACTGTTTTAAAATTGATATATCTTATATTGGTCTTCAGTATGATAAATTATGAATAAATCTTACATTTTGCTTTTTGAATATTTATGTTTTTAGCTTGCACAAAAAAAAGAAAAAAAAAAGAAAAGAAAGATTTAAGATAATTACATTTGCATTCAATCTTTTGATTTGAACACAATTTGATGAACTTGATATGTATTGTTTGTATATACATCTGCGCCCAAACTACACGATTTCCATCACAGAAACAGCTAATATTAAACCTTTTTTTTAGCTCTTTACTTTTTTTTAATCATTTATTTTATACTTATTTACCGAATTTGTTAATATTTTATTGAGTATGAAAGACATTGTGACATTATATTTGGACTTTCTTCTTTCTGTAATCCTATAATCATATATGATTACGCAAGTTATCGCTTATAACAATAATAGTTGCCCTAATAATAATTTTCCTCAGTCCAGATTCCTTGCTGTCTTCTTCAATAAAATAGGCATTTTAGCATTTTATGAATTTAAATTTGTATTGATTGATTTGTCTATCTATGGTTAGATTGATCCACTGAAACTTTTCAGCACCCATCTGACATATTTATGGTGTTAAGCCTTTTAGCTACTTATTTTAGTTATTTAAAAATTATTAAAAGCTTCAAACGTTGAGAAGGTTTACATTATGAATCTCAATACCATTTCGGAGGTCGCCATACATGTAAGATCTCATAACCCTCAAAAACCATAATGTGCCAAAATTAACCACATCATAGCTTTTAATTCTAATAACTAGTGAAAGTATTGTAATTAATGTAAATTACTACACTAACATATGTTTAAAGTAATTGTTGTACCTTATATGAATATATCTGGCATTAGTTTAAATCGTATTTTACTCATATCAATGAAGTGGATTGAACAGAAGGCATAAATGCCTATGATCGTTCTCTCTATAATCAGGCATTGTTAAGGAAAGAAAACATGTCAGGTAGAGAAACAGAATTATTGTTTAAAATAGAAATAATTTTACATATTTAACCTCCGTTGATATTGTTCGTTCGAACACAACCTTGAGCTGATATCGTTCATGCCTTACCACTGCATAACATACAATAGCACTGTCCATCATGTCGGTTTGATTTACCATATCATCATATTCTAATCTCATACCATGCCTGAGAAATGCCCTTACCATTTTAATGTATGGACGTGTGATTAATTGATTGTGTGTTGTTTTACGTCCCGTGACCTTTACTCGGCACTCAGGGTCAATGAGCAGTGAGGATTATAAATCGTGCCAACGCCTGCCGTGACATGGGGAACGGGTTTTTAAGGTCTCATCCGAAAGACCCGCAACTTTCACTTCAAAGTGCCGAGCACCTAAAGAAGGAACAGTTACTACCAATTTTTAACACTTAGCTCAGCCGCAGCCGATTTTCTAACCCACGACCTTTCGATCACGGAGCGAGGGTTCTACCGACTGAGCTACTGCCGTGATGGTGACGTGTGAAAAATAACCATAAACTGACTGTAGCTGCTGTAAATTGTACGATAAAAAAGTAAGTTTTATAGGAAAGCAGCTTAATGATATAAAACGTGATGTAAAGAGAACGAAAGTCTATTTCAACAGTTCAAATTGTAAGCACAACCAATACGGGTGGGATGAGGTGACATGAAGGAGTAAGGATACCCTGTCAACCGGTCACACTCGCCATGTGATCCTTGTCATAATTGGGTAAACGGCAAAATCCATAAACGATTCAGTACGAAAATAATACTTGGATAATTTGTTTGAAAAACGTCAGTAAACATTCTCCTTAAAAGGAAATTGTTTTTTTATTATTCTTTTTGCAAACAAGGACATTATGTCGACCCTAGAATATGCAAAGGTTTGACTTTAAACGAGATAATTGATATCTTTGTATCGTCAACTTATTTGTCTTATAGCTTGGATGTTCTTGAAATTTTCTCTACGTAGCGTATGTTTTAATGGTAGACACAAATTCAATATATGCAGATGACAATGGTATATTGTTACATAAGGGAAATTGACGAATTGATGAATTGAGGATTTTCTTCAAGATCAAAAAACCGTTTACGGTAGCTCAGTCGGTAAAGCGCTCGCTCCGTGATCGGGAGGTCGTGAGTTCGAATCTCGGCCGCGACTGACCTAAGTCGATAAAAAATGGGTAGCAACTGTTCCTTCGCCATGCGCTCGGCACTTTGAAGTGAAAGTTGCGGGTCCTTCGGATGAGACCTTAAAAACCGAGGCCCCGTGCCACAGCAGGCGTTGGCACGATAAAGATCCCTCACTGCTCAATGGCCCTGAGTGCCGAGTAAAGGTCAAAATTTGAAGCCCTTTACCGGTATATGGTGACGTCTCTATATGAGTGAAAAATCCTCGAATGGGACGTAAAACAATATTCAATCAATCAATCAACATCAAAAATGTAAATGTTGTAATTCATAACTACATGGTATCTTTACTTCAAATGACCTCTGATAATTATATTATTGTATGATTATTGTTGTATGACTATAGACTTCATTAGCAATATCAAATAGTTTTTGGATTAGTTTTACGGATAATGAATTTACTTTCCTTAAATAATCAAATTAACATGACGCAAATAACATCTCAAAAATTGCAAGAGGTTTCAAATACGTTCCATAATAAGATAAGATTCCCCCTATCAAAGAATCCCAGCTAAGTAAATCAGTCCTTTTAAATTTGATGATTACAAACAATGTCATTGTAAAAGCCATACTAAAATCTATGTTTGGGACATTTTATTCGAATTTTGAGATTAAACCAAACATTGTTACATCATTTATAGTATAAGTATTTACCTACATAGAGTGTTTAAAGACTCTCGATATTCATTCAATTGCAAGCGAAGTCAATTACAATTTCTCAAATGTTCTGTAATTTTACTATTTTCGCTGGCTAATCTTACGACTATAAATTTCTTTAAAGATGTTTAAATGGCTACGGTGAAATTTGTTTTTAGAAAATTCTTTGACTATCTAACCCTTTCGTTACCTCTGCCCTCTTTAGATAGAGTATATTGAGCTTGTGATAATTATCACACAGTATGACAATGTTCATGTACATGACATTCCTCTACATGAGAAGATTGATTGAATTGATTGTATGTTGTTTTATGTCCCGTACGAGAATTTTTCACTCATATAGAGATGTCACCATATACCGGTGAAGGGTTTCAAATTTAGACCTTTACTCGGCACTCAGGGCCCATTGAGAAATAAATGGTCTTTTTCGTGTCAATGCCTACCGTGACCAGGGATGGAGTAATGCATGGTAATGTGTACTGGTAATTGACTGACAGTAATTACAAATTTCAATGTTATTGACAGTAATGTGAAACTGGCCAAATTTTTCAATTACATGTAATAGTAATTTAATTAATTACTTTTGAGAAAAGGCATGTAATTCACAATTACTTTTCAATTACACTGTTGCTTAATAAATGAAAAAATAGCCCCTCCTCCCCCCCCCCCTTAACCCTTTTCCCGTCATCCTTATAAATCTGTAAAAAAAAATCCATAAATTTACACAACATTATTGGGAAAATTTGAATGAATTTGGACAAATTATTTTGGTCGCTGATTTTTTAATGGAATTTATATATTTCCCCCCTTTTTTTATGAATTTCTGTTTCCTCTTATGCATTTTCTTTAAAACTTTTAATCAAAATAATCTCTCTGTGTAAAATGTACTAAAAAGATTAATAATTTTGATGAAGTTGCTTATGAATTGACAATTAAAATACCTATTCCAATAACTTCTAATCCTTTGTTTCTTGTGTTAGAAGTAATTAATAGGTGTTTAAAACTAGTGCCCTAAGGTGACAGTTTAACACTGAACTTTAATAGATATTTGACTTTGCCTAAGATAGTTTGACATATAATATATCAAATATCAACATTTTGAGATATAGGTTAGAATGCTAAAAAAGGAAATATCAAGGCAAAGTGCATTCATTTTTTCGCGTAAATATACTAGAAAACTAAAAATGACATCAATTTTTGTAAGACAAATGGATTACGGACAAAGATGAGTAAACCTGCTACTAGTCAGTATCTATTTATTCCTGTCACAAATGCCCCAGTGGAAAGTATCTTCAATGTGGCAGAAAAATCTTCAAGCCTGATAGATGTATGTTAGGGGACACAATATAAGAAAATTTCATGAACATGTAAATAAAAAATGTAAATGAATCTGACATAAATATAAAGGAACGTTCTTAGCAATTTATTGAGACATTTTCTTAAAATGTAATTTGTAATTCAATTAATTACATTTATAAAGTAATTGTAATTTAATTAATTACATTTCAAAATCCTTTTAATGGTAACGGTAATTAAATTGAAGGTTTTGGGCAAGTAATTGTAATTTAATAAATTACTTTCCTATGTAATTCACTCCATCCCAGACAGTGGCACGGTTTTTAAGGTCTCATCCGAAGGACCCGCAACTTTCACTTATGAATTACAATTTATGAATTATTGATAATTTTATAGAAATTTTCCAGAAATTTTCTTCGATGTTTGTATAAATTTTCTTAGAGTTGTTTTTTACTAGTATGTTCATTTCACCGTGCATCGGGCACAAATTAACCATATGCATGCATAGGACACTTTCCAATGCATGGGTAACCACTTCCTTTTTCGTATAGAATCCAACCGACACCTGTTTTTTGCGGAAATAGAAAATAATACCTATAAATATTCAGTGAAATACAAGTTATCGATTTATGACGACTAAAAGCAGACTCAATTTGTTTCTACAAACTAGAAGATGAAAACCCACGAGTCAAAGGCGCAAGTTGCCATATAACTTGCATTGTAAAGCCTTTCTTAGGCGATGTGATGCAAATAAAATCTCTCCACATTTGTGGATCAATGTAGTCAATGAAATTAAACTAGAAAGATTATTTAAAAAAAAATGATAAAAATATTTTCATTTCACAAATTTAAAAGCACCGAGATAAAGGTATGACATTTCAATACCGTTCAAATACCGTTTGTTCGATGCATGGTGAATATTGTCCTGTCTA